AATTACTCTTATGAGTTTGGAGAACTTTCAAACTCACAAAAACAGGCTATAATCACATTAATTGGAAAAAAGGAAAAGATAAATGAGTAATTGAAAATTGGCAGCCTATATCGCTAATCAACGTCAATGCGAAAATTATTTCTAAAGTTTTAGCGAAGCGCCTGGAAAAGGTCTTGCCAAAAATAATACATCCAAGTCAGAATGCATTTGTAAAAGGTAGGTCCATATTTGACGCAATTAGAACGATTAATGATATTGTAGATTAAACCAAACGGAACAGTTGGTCAGGATTTATGATCGCAATTGACTTTGAAAAAGCCTTCGATACACTAGACTTTCGATTTCTAATCAGAACATTACACAAATTTAATTTTGGCCCATCTTTTATTCAGTGGATGTGTGTTCTGTACAAAAATGCATCCAGTTGTTTAATGAACAATGAATTTACGACTGGTCCTTTTCTACTAGGTAGAGGTGTCAGACAGGGGGATCCACTCTCCCCTTACCTCTTCATACTAGCACTTGAGACCCTAGCTATAAAAATAAGACAGGACTGCAATGTACAAGGGCTTAAAATTGGAGAAGAAATGATTAAACTGTCTCTATTTGCAGATGATATGACCAGTGTCTTAAAAGACAAAACATCTTATACAAATCTGTTTCGTATTCTCAACTCTTTTGGAGAGTGTTCCGGCCTAAAGGTGAATGATGAAAAAACAGAAATCATGCCTCTATGAGATAATATCGTACAGGAGAATGACTTCCCAACTCATAGTATTTGTGAAATCATAAAAATCTTGGGGATATATTTTGGTTATGATGATAGACAAAGGAACGACCTTAACTTTAGTCAATCTTTAAAAATTATATAAAGGAATCAATCAAAAGATAGTCAAAACTTTCGCAATCCCAAAGCTTATGTTCAGAGCATCGGTTATACCAGTCTCTAAAGAACTAATTAAAGAGGCAAACTCAGTTCTCTACAACTTTATTTGGAATGGGAAAGACAAAGTGAAGTGGGTGGACTCAAAATGTTGGACATTCAATCTATGATTTGCGCTAAACGAATAACATGTTTAAAGAGTCCTTGGAAAGTAATCCTAGACAAACTTCTGTTACCAATCAGAGGACGTTTTGTATTGCACTGCAACTTTCAAGCTTCTAAATTGAAAATCAACCTACCAGCATATTATAAGGAATGCTTTGATGCGTGGTCGGAGGTTAATGGGAAGACTCTAAGTTGTTACGAGGAAATCATTAACGAAATTATCTGGAACAACAAATTTCTTTGCTATGACAAAAAATCGATGTACAGAAGAGATATTGTAAACTTAGGCTTCGTGAAGATTAAGGATTTAATTTCTGCGAACAACTCCTTCTCGTGTGACTTCTCTTCGCTTACAAACCCCGAACAAAGATTTTATCTTATGAGTATTACCGGTATCAATTTGATTCCCGCAGAATGGCGCTCACTTATTAAAGCATCTAAGAACGTAACATCAGCCAATCCCACACCGATTAATGATGTAATGTATTGCCAATCCTTGATATCTCTCCTAAACAGATCTATCAAATCTTTAAAAGCAAATTGCGCCCACCGCAAAACAGAAACTATCAAACAAGTACTCAAATATAGATATTGATTGGGAAAAGGCTTACACTTTGGCCTTTCATTGCACTTTGGACACAAAGATCAGGGAATTTCATGACAAAATTTTAAATTGTATAATCTTTGTAAACGTGAATTGGTGTAGCAGAATCGCCAAACTGCACTTTCTGTCAAGAAGCAGCGGAATCCGTGGAGCATTTACTCTTCTCCTGCAGGATATCTTCTGAGTTTTGGAAGCATGTCTTGTCCTGGCTAAGAGATAATGATGTTCATGTTGAGACAATTAATGAGTCTGATGTGATTTTTGGAAAATTTGATATTGTAGAAGACTATATTCTTATTAATCATATTTTGTTATTAGCTAAATATTATATCTACTGTAGGAAATGTCATAATAGCATACCTTCAATTAGAGGTTTTATTGCTAGGGTTAAGACGTGTCTTCAAGATTGAGCTCCATATCCCCAGGGAAAAAATAAACTTCTTTTTCATTTTCAAAAGTGGGAGAAGCTAACTAATGCAGCTATTTTTCGTTGTTTTTGTTATCCTTTTTCTTTTCTTTTCTTTTTTTTTTTAAGTGGAATTGTATAATTTGATTCATTTAATTAATGTCTATTCTTAAGTAACATTGTAAAACTTGTCTTTAATTCAATAAAAACTGTAAAAAAAAACACAAACATATTTTTGATAGTTGTTAACTCCTAAAGAAGGAAAACGTGTACGAATTATCAAAGAGATTAAGTGGTGTCTTGTCAGACACACTAAAATTTATTGAGACAGAAGCATTATGAGATGGAACTTCAACAAAACCATCAGCACAATATGCAATTGGCAATGAGTAATTGGTTGACATTTATAATTTTGTCCAAGGTACAAAAGACTCATTAAAAAAAGAAAACCCGGTAGTAAATCAAAAAGGATGAAACTCCATTAATACTAGTCTTTGTCTTTTCTTTCAGCACATACCAGTACCTTTCAAATATTTGTTGTAATCCTTCTTAAAACTTAAGTTATCATCCACCCTCAAGCACCCTCCTCGCGTTGATCGGCGCTAGTGCTTTTGCTTTTAATAAATACCCCCATAAACCATTCATTTCCTGCTAGCTTAGCACAATAAGCCACAGTCACTCTTTCCAAGTTGTATGCTCATTTTAAATTTAATATTAATTAACCTATTTATTATCTATTTTATTCTTCTTGTAATTTATTCTGTGTGGCAAAATAATAAAATAGAAATAAATATAAAGTCCGGGCTAGCCAAAAATAAATGGAAGAAGCCAATTAAGATCGCATTCGTTTCTTAAGACTTCTGACTAAAAAACGTGTCTCAGATTTTTGTTAAGTGCATTTGTTCTTTTGTTATAAGCAGTTGAAGTTAGGGATAGCAAATCATTAGCACTACCTGAGGAAAAAATACTCTAACTCCAAAATGAAAAAAGAAATTAAAATTCGCAGACAGATTTTTAGAAAAACTATGTGACAGTAACTTGGCCAAATTTCAGCCAAATTGGTTCACAGGTTGCCGACTTGGAGATAAAAAAGTACCCTCAACTTGCGCTGATTTTCATTTCAAGAAAACAGTGGAAAAAGATTTTTGGTGGCATATTACCCGTAAGAGATTATAACTGATTATAACACCAAAGCTGTCAATGTAGATTATTACCAGAGAAGGGACAACAATAACCACACAGCAGGAAAAGGTTATAAAAACGAAACCCAACAACAGATGAACAATGTATTTCAAAGGCTCTGCTCTGTTCGATCCTTTCTGTTGTCGGGAAAGCATCATCAGTTATTTGCGACGAGCAGTTTTCATTTTCGCACCGGACAAGCCAAGTTGACCCAAGCCTAATTTTACTTGATACATTTTCTAAAAGTTCGACACTTAATTCCCTGGAAAAACTGGCAGCAAACTGCTTCCTAGAGTTTTCCTTGAAGCTTCTCTCCCTCTACAATAGACTTTCAAAACAGTCCTTCATCTGATTTTTATATTATGGCACGGGACCTGTTGCTCGCTTGCCCGCCTCGCCACCTAAAAAGCTTGCTCCGCTGGCTAGGAAACTCATGAAACTCGATTCCGCTGTAGTTTCAATGGGTTTTTTGGGAGCTTTGTCATCTTTTAGCCATTTTTCTTGATTGTAGTATAGGGAGCCCTTGTCGCTCTCTGCTAAGTTTGAAGCCCACTGTAGATCTTTGCAAAACGATTTTGTCGTCTTCTTTTGTCTTGGAGTCGAGGAGGAAAATGGACAAGCTTTTTTTTTCTTCTTTGGAGGCATTCACTTCCAAATTCCAGGGAAAAACAGTGAAGACTATACTTGTAGACCATGATTTAGCTTGGTTCAACAGTAATGATCAATTAAAGTAATTAGCATAGAAAAAACTTTTGCACTGTATGTCCGCACAGAAAAAACATTTTTGTCTGGAATTTTTTTTAAAAGAAGGTCCTTAATGAGCTCTATTTAATCATGTTAAAATTGCAAATTTCGAAAAATGATGGTTTTTAAAAGTTGAAACCAGATGGCACTGTAAATAAGGATGTCACAACAAGAAAAAAGATGTGTCCTGGTTTGGTCTTTCCCTAGGGTACACCCTCCCTTTGCTTAAGAAGACGATTACTGTGGCCCATTGATGCAAAACAGTTTTTTTTCACAGTCAATGTAATTGATTTTGGAAAAGTCTGTTTTCCAAATTATTATGTTTTTTTATCAAATAATTGTATCATTCATTGCATTGTCAGGTCGTGTGTGGATTTTTACAGCATTCAGTGATGGCCTGTTAGAGAGCTACATTAGGTTGTTTGTTGACAACCAGTTGCTTGCCAGAAGATTTTATACAAGGTGGGTATTGTAGAATCACCATTTTTTGCATATAGTGCAATTTAAACTACTCCTTGTTAAGCAAGCATAAGGGCCATACGGAATTATAGAAACCTCTTATAAGCCAAGTCCTCAGTCCATACGGTAAGATATGAGCCAAATGTTTTGATCAGTTTATGGCCCACATGCGAAGCTTGCATAAACAACCTCTTCTCTTAACAGAAAAAGAAATCATTTAGGCGTAAAAAAAACTTCTGTGCCTAAGTCACCACATTTAGTGGTAGTTGTGTAGTGAAGTTAGTGTTAGTAAGTTGTTATGTAAGGGAAATCAGTTTTGTCAGTTTTTATTGTAATGCCGATCAGTATTTAACAATTCGTGAAATTTAATCCCTTTGAATGTACTGGTTTTGGCCAAATCCACAAGTTGAAGTTACATCAAATAGGCCTGTTCCACTTTCTCGAAATTGAGTTCCTGCAAAATGATTTATTTAAAATATAAGGTATGGGACAAGTATATTGGCATATAGTTTGGTCTAGCGCTAGCTTGGACAACATGGATTCTTCCTCGCCAGGCTCTAGCATTGGCATTCTGAGTTCTCCAATAGTGGCAAACCCGGTGTCCTCAAGCAAAGTGTGTATGTACTTGGTCCCAGATCTTCCTCTCTTAAAAGATGCGATGCCTCTTCCTCTTTGTGTCCCACACAATGCCCAGCTACTCTCCCTGATCTTGCTATATAGAAACGTTTGTGAGGTGACTGTACAGATCATCATCGGTAATGTGGTCCCTCCAAATTATAAATGTTTAGTGTTGTGTGAAGCATTCTAGTATAGGCACCATCAATTTGATTTTCTGTGCTTTTGGCTAGTGTCCATTTTTTGCTGCCATAAAGTAAAGCACTTCCTGCTGTTGTCGGGAATAGTATAACCTTTAACTCCTACACAGGCTGGATTTCCAAATTTTGGCCAGCTTATTACACACCACCCAGGCTTAAGCTTTTCTTGTTTTCATGTCTTTGACAGAATCATTTATTAATCCAAGAACCTAAGTATTTAAAATCAGCCACTTTTCTTATTGAATCATTGCTTTTGGTTTTAATTACTGTTGGGTCTCGATTGTAGATGATTGCCTGAGTTTTAACTGCATTTAGATGTAGTCTGAGATTTGTGGCTGCATTCACTACACTTTGTAACCGACACTGTGCTTCATCAATGTGGTTGAGTATCAATGCTATGTCATCGGCAAAGTCTAGATCACTTTTTGTGATCAGTGGGTATTGCCTGCTCTTTGTTGGTTCAACTGTAAAGCCGGCAGGGCTGTCATGTCCCTTTAATGCTTTTCTCATTGCGTAATCAAGGACGATTGTAAAGAGGATAGGGCAAGAGTGTTGCCCTGCAATCCCCCTCTGTGATTTTAAACCAGTCTGTTTCTATATGAACTAAGCACTTAATATTGTGCATTGACCCTTTCTGTAAATTTAGAGGTATAGAACACATGATAGAGTGCCCCTTAACATCACCCACTCCACCCAACCCCCGGGAAAGCTAAATTGAAAAAGCACTCATGATTGCATTTGTGCAGGCAACTTTTGCTGTTAGTTTAGGTCTATTCTTCAGTTTTTCTCATATGCTACTAAATTTAAAGTCATTACATAACACAAAACTTCATGTAAGGTTGTCATACTTCACGGCAAAGTCCAAGTGGACTAATATAAGGGCTCAAAACTCCAGTTTTTCCTTTGCTTGCTCCTTTGCTAGTGCTCCGGAATTATTTTACTTGGTGGGGTTGAGTCTTTCTTTTCTCTTTTTTTTATTCATGAATGCCAGTAATGTCCAATTAAAGACCTTACAGGTACTTAAAATCTGAAGTTCTAATTTTATTTTCCTTTAGAAGCATAAGCGACCGAACAAAAAGTCCCATCATCCTAGGATATGACTGGACAAAGTTTATTTTTGAGCAGAGGATATTTAGAATAAAATGTGATATTTAGAGTTTTGTTAAGGAAAAATTATTGAAATCATGTTTTTTCTAGGAAGCTACTGTACTTCAGTGCTAATTAGGGCATGGGTATGTCAGTCACAGAAATTCAAACAGATCTCCCCATATGAGCCTGCAGTAATCAGATTCAGCAGTATTCTCTATTTATGAAATAAGCCATGTGGCAAATGTTCAACAAAATGGTGGATGCTGATGCTGAAACGTCAGATGCAGTGATTTGTACGGTTCCTGATGATGTACCCTCTGAGCCGTGTACGAACCAAAAGTAGTGTCTCTCATTGACTGCTTAAGACCTCCAGCACCTAAAGGTCTTTCAACTCTGCCTGAAAGTGCATTTAAAAGAACCTTTCTCCTTGAAACGAGGCATAAGTGCTAATTATAAAAAAAAATCAGTATAACAAAATTTGGCACCATTTTGGGATGAGATGCATTGCAGCTGTTTTGATGGAGAATATTAAATGGCATCTAAAAATTTTGTCTGCCAGTTTTTAGCTTCCAGTCATTTCCAGGTTTTTGATAAGTAGTTAAGCTTACTAATATTTGTCATTTCTATCTTTTACTTTGAAGGAACGCCTTTGTAAGAGATAAAGAGGTAAGGTACTAAGTGTTGTTAGTAATGTGCACATGTATATGATGCATGAAATGAGCTAAGTTGCAAAATAAAGTATCATAGGTTATTCCACAGTATTCTGTCTGTTGAGGAGGGGAAATTTTGAGACACTTAATCTTGTTACAGTCTAATAGACATTGTTTTATGTGAACTTGCGTCTATAACTGCGATGATCTTCTTTCACATAATTCTTCACCTTGCAGTTCACATATAAGATGTTCATATATTCATAACTTCATCACAAGACATTGTTTTGTTACTTCTGATTTTCTATTCATGCTTGAAGTCTTCAAGAAGGCTAATATTTTTGCTACTGTCTTACTTTTCTCCCAAATGCATTATTTAGTTCACAGTTAGAGCTTTAATAGAGGTTCATTGCGAAGGGGAACAGAAAGTATCATGTTCGTTGTTTTGTTATGTTCATTTCTAATACTCTCTGAATGAAGTTCTATGCTGTAAATTAACTGCTTGCATTTTAGCCATTTACTGTGTGGTCTTTTTACTTACTTTAGTTACCAAATAAAGGTTTCAGCTTTGCCAGATTGGCTTCAGATTTGTTTTTATTGGCACACAATTGAGCATGCAAAACCAGGTGTTTGTAGTTGTCTCTTCTCGCTCCCCGAAAAGTGAAACACATATTGGTTCATAGGTTCGGGCATGGCACTCTGCTTGTGTTGTTGGTCAACGGTAAGAAGTAGGGATTTTCCAAAATATGTTTCTTTGTTGAAAGAGTTTTTGAGAATGTGATTGTTCAACCCTGCTCCCAGGTTCTGTCTAACTAAATGTTGAGGTAACGATAACAGTTTATGGCAACCCAGGTATAATTTTCAATTTGTAGGAAGCTTACTTTAATTATTTTTACTTATCCATCGGGCGATTTTTTGCACTAATGTGGAAAGAAATAGAAAAAAAAAATTAGAATTGTTGGCTAAAATCTGTGAACCAGTGAATCTGTACTTTGAATATCGGTCATTGCGAAAACAATCAAACAATGAAAATAATCATAAAGTAATTCCATTGATTAATTCGCTACTCCAATAGTGTTTTGTCAATGTTGTCTGACAAATCAATGCTTTCTTGTTGGAGTAAATAGCTTTTAAATAATTGATGAATTAAACTTGACTTACTTGTAAGTTGAAGTTTGATCAGAATTCTATCGATTCATCAAACTGCACCAAGGCATCATGTGAGATAGCTAGATGCATGCGCATTATCCTTACTTACAGACGAATGTGAGTGTCAAAGAAAACACCCACTAAAAGGAGTAGTGTCATAAGGCCATCCCTATTAAACCTCAGTAGAATAAATGGTGGATACAGCAAACATCAATATTGACATTGGGCAGGTATGTGATCTTGTCATCACTGCCCCAGGGAGCCTAGAGACTCTAAAGTTCAGACAGCCGCACAGGGAATGAAACCCAGGGTGTTTATGCATAAACAACCCCACACCTTACAGGAACAAAGCTTCGCTCATGAAAGTAAAGAACGAGAAACGCTTCATGCTAACCTATAATGCTCTTATGAACACACTTAGTATAAAACAGTATAACAACTAAGCTGAAACACAATAACCCGAAAAATCTCTAAATTATAGACATGGAATACTAGTCAGCTTTAATTTTCAGCTCTGGACAAATAGCCAGGCCTGCTTTGTTTGACATGTTCCGTGAACAAGAATTCAAATGCATTAGGCACCTCTTCCATGTAAGCAATGTGAAGTATATGTAAACTTTGTCCTTTTTGTACAGAGACCAGGGCCATCAGCATAACCAGCTTTGGAGAAAGTGATTTTAAATCAAGCTTCTCGGGAGGGTGGAGGGAGGAAAGGTGATTTAAGATTGGTTGTACATTCCAAGTTGATTGGTTGTGTGAAATTGGTGGGCAGACATTGTAAAAACCTCTCTTCAACCCGGAAAACAAGTGGATGACAGCTAACGGTCATGTTATTTCTAGGTATAGTAACTGCTGATATGCCATTCCTGGCAGTATTGATGATGACGAGGAAATCTAAACCGGCAAAAAGAGGTGGATCATAGATCCATCCACTGTTTGATGTATGGTTTGTACTGATTTTGCATTCCGTCAGACCAGGACTTTTAAAAGGATTATTGCTGTAGGCTTGCTGTAGCTTTTATTTATTTCTGTGCTGGAGGCTTTCCCGAAAGCGTGCAAGCCATCAGTTTCACCTGTTTGTGAGGGGGATGCAACACAAGGTCGTGTGGTTGTGTTAGGAGATGATTTGGATTTCAGAGAAAAACAGGGTTGTCTACTAACAGGTGAAGGAGAGAGGTGAACCAAGGTCGTGTCTGCCATACGGGAACTAGAAACTGTCAATACTTGTAGACACCTAACGTTACCTAGTTACCTAGTTCTGCCTAAACTCACCTCTTATAAAACTTGTCGTATTACTTTTTTACAAATATAATAATTGTAATAAATTATCCTTTTCTGTTGTTATTTTATTTATTCATTTATATTAGTATTATTAGTATTTATTATTAGTATTCCTTCCAACTCATGAAAATGGCATTGACATATTCAGCACCAGGGTCTGTTTCCCATGACACATTACTAGAAATCTTACAGCTGTTTTGGATAACGCGCGACCTGCAATGTCAAAAACGTCTTTGGATTTTTTTCTGGGACATCAAACAAAATGATTGCATTTTACGCTGCTGTTCATCGTCTTAGCGGACCTCTTAGGAAACAGAAGAACTATGAAGCATTTTTGACAATGCAGGTCGTGTGTTATCCAAAACAGCTGTAATATAAGTCTGGATGCAAACAGGTCAATTTCAAATGGACCCCACAGTTTGTATAAGTCTGAAAAGACGTCCAAGTTAAAAGACCATTCAGTTGAACTGTTAATTTGGTTAGATTCAGTGTCAGCATCTACACAGGCAGAGCCAGATGTGTGGCAAACACTGAGCCAAATGTCTCTCTCTGTACACCACAGCCAAATTTTCTTAGCGAAACTATCACACTCTGCAGATTGTTGCCCCCTTGTTTTTAACATATGCTATTGTGGTTGTATTGTCAGACTTAATCCTTATGTGTTTTCTATGAACATGGGCAAGCACGATTTCAACCCCGACAAAACTGCTTTCAGCTCCAAATAGTTAATGTGGAAAGTTTGTTCGTCTAAGCTCTAAAGATGACCATTTGTCTGAGCTCCATATACTGCACACCAGCCTCTAGTGGAGGCACTGGCATTTGGCTCTTGTCTTACCACGTCCTGGATTTGCCAAGACTGGACCGCCATAACACGATCAGTAATGTTTTTCACTCTGTCTTTCTTTTATCATCCAGAAATGACTCCCTACTCTGTTAGGACATTTTTCATGTCATGGACAAGTCTCACACGCGTCAACAATAATTAGTGTTGTCAAAGGGTCGTTGTTTGGCTGTTTGGTTCTTGTGTCGTAGGGGTGGTTCTCAGGGAAGCTCAACATCCATCCATTCAAAGTAAGCATCTCCATCTTTCCTTTCATCTTTTCATTCAGGCGAGCTAGCGACCCTTTCCTTTCTGCATCAGGGAAGGCCTTCCCGACTTGGGCCTGCTTGATTCAGAAGGTCTCTGTCCCTGATGTCTCTCCTGAGAGGAGGAAGTCTGCAGTTAGACACCCAGTACAATTACACAAACAAGATGCTTGAGGTCTGAGATCGATGCCTGCACTAGTATGGTTCTTGGTCTTGTGTGTTCTTTTGGTTGTCCATTTTTCATTGTGTTAAGCC